GTAAAAACTAGATAACTGGTTGGAAACAAACTGTCATTTGCGCGGCCCTTATGGCTAACTCTTTACGCGGTGTGACCCTTACCATGGAGTCTCCCAGTTGGCCAACATAACTGTCCTTCACGGCTTTTGGTGACCTTCCATTTCCATCCATTGTTCTAGTACGGCGACGGCGCCTTCACAGCTTGAGGTCTCTATGGTCCGGATCCAGTAACTTCAACAATTGCTATCCCGTTACCTTACTATGTCCTTAAAGCTCAATGCCATCAAATCGGAAAAGGCCAAGTCGTTGGTTGGAGACTGACTCTCTAGCGGATAACGGCTAGGACCTTCATACCCTAATGACATCGTACTAGCAGCTTTTTTTCCGAAAAAGCCGAGAAGGATTTTCACGAGGTAAATCGAAGGATCCTTGATAATGTTTAGATTTAAAGGGTTCGAAAATTCATTAAAATAACTCGAAAGGCCATTACCGAATATAGCAATGGGGGGGAAGGGCGGTAGCTAAGGTCTGCTGCACAAAGTAGAAGTTCCAGAAAATCAAGCGAATAGGTGTTAGGTCATCAAATGAGAGGCGGATTTGAGATTCTAACGTACCATAATGAGACCCAAGGAATGTTAACACACACAGCCTCTGCTGGGTCCCAGTGCCAGCATTTAACGTTGACATTTTATACGAAAGATTCACCAACATGCTTGCCCGGGTTGAAGTAAGGACTAATTCCTCGACTAGCCAGTTTCGGTAACACACATAGTAACTGGAACTGTATTTGTGAAAAAGCATACCGCTACCAGACTCACGAATTTCTGTGTTAAATCAAGGCAGACCTCGGGCACCTACAAATGGAAACTAGACGAGTCTATGCACAAGGCAACCTTACCAGCGCGTGCCATGCTTCGATTTGGCCAGAGATTTGATAGCGCAAGTAGTCAGAATTGGCCGTCATCTGTAATCGTAAAGATCCGACTGCCATTCAGACATTGAGTAGACCACGCACTGATACATATTTATAACTGTAAAAGAAGTAAAAATAAATTAAGCCAAACATTAAAATATATTCAAACACAATATACTGAAGAAAACCGATCTTGGTTTAGACTCTTCTTCATAGATATTTAGTCGTTGGTTAAGAATCGGACGTATGGCAAAGGTTCATCGCGATTTTTAATTGAGGCCATAGTCAAATGGCTACTCCTGCGGACCAGTACTGGATTGATCATCGTTTCTCTTGTGAGAGCTGCCATTAGTCGAAATTACCAGTCGGCAGTGACAGCGTGCGATGTTGTTCCTTTCAAGTCTACATAGAATAAGTAGATTCAAATAAGTTCTGGACGTGGATCTGGCCAGATATCCGATGGCCTGCGTTTCTCGCGTCACAGGACCGCAGAACTGGCGGAGCGCTCCGGCCGTTGTCAACAATATGAACGAGACGGCGTACTAACTATGAGCGACACCCTGTGCACAATAATGTAGGAAATCCTCTTAACAGGTCGGGTATCATGAACGAATTTAACAACAGCAGGATCGCTTTCCTAAATTTCACTCCTTCGAATTTGCCTATATACCTTGTCATCAGATGATTAGTCGGCCGGTCGTAGCTACCGCTGTTTATGGAACGCTTCCCATCGATATAACTCGAGTCACAAATGGCACCGTAGTTGCGTTCACGTTCTTGTACAATTGCCGTAAGAGACGCTCATGAACTCAAGCTTGCGTGCCGAACCAACACAAGCCGTTTAGGGATCGATGAGGCCATAAGATCTATTGTTAGCGAGTTGGTCGTTATTTTGTAACTTACCTCTCAACCTAGCACAAATGCGTTTCTAGAATTGTGCTACCAACTTTATACATGATATTATAGCAAGCAAAGTACTATGATACTTCTGGCATTACCTTCTCCCACCACTGATATTGACATGTATTGGGTGCCTGCGGTCAAACGGGTGACCGAAATACGTAGTGGCGACTCATTAGATGGAACCAAACAATGATCGTAACTAGCCTTAATTTATTACTGTTTAATCACCAGGCAAATGTTTACATCTTTGACAGGACATACTTTGTTGCTGACGAACGACTCTGAATACCGGCACCTTTTCTTGCTTTGTTCTCTCCTCTTGGGCAGGGGGCATTGAAAAAGTCCATTTGATGGCAATGAACAATGAAGAGCTTAGTTGTTCGTTTACATTTTCCTGCACAATTGCTGTACTTAGTTGTAAGTCACTTGCTGCGTCTCTCTAACGCAGCATCTAGTCAAAAAAGGGTACTCACGTGTAACCTCAAATGAGTACTTCAAACAAGGCACATTGCTGTATGTCAGCAAACAAATAGAAATCGCGCCGAGGTTGATCCGATCAAAAAGATATGGCTCGTTGCAAACTTGGCTACGTCGATTAACTGACGTTGGTGTCTACTCAAACCTCGACAAAGTGATTGTCTGATGATAAAAGTACAAAGAAAATCTTTGCATTTGGATACCTATAGCACATTGTTTTTCATTACACAAAGGTAAGAATAGCCATATTTGCCCTAGATGCCCCACGAACTCCCTACGGGTAGCTTGCTGGTTTAGTCAGGCAATCTAAATTATAGAAAGGAAGAACCAGGTCGTTCCCCACTTAGGCTGTTGTTGATACTGTTTCAGCCTGGCAACCCACTTAATATTGTGCAACTTATAATAGTAACCCAGTGATTATTATAAGTTGCACAAATCGTAAGCGTAGACAAGATAAAAACAAAAACTGGTTATTTTATTTATTATATTTGGTCAACCTTTATTAAGCAGCTGGCCTAAGGTTATTGATAGCACACTTTCGCTTATTTGTTTACACTGAACCCTATCACAACCAAATAACTTGCCACAGTTAAAGATTAAAGTTATGATTCTAGGCGTAATATAGTTGAGCTCGTCCTGCCTGGCTAAAATTGTCATCCAACATTTTTTACATTCTCTAAAAGAATACACAGCCTTCTTCTGCTTGGCCAAATCGAGAATTTCTTTAGCGGATCCATTTTAGTTGAACGAAAATGCGAATCCCGGCCGCTGTCATAGTGCAAAAAGCTAGAACTTGCGAGAAAATTGCTCGTTTAATATCGTTTAAAATCTGATTTTATCGCAGAACGTCAAGCAGAGTCGTCCACTTTGCGAGGATACAGTACTCTTAGAAACAGCTCTATTGTGATAGATTTTATAGATAACAAAAAAATACAATATAACAATTAAACTTCTTATTAACTTATTATGATAAGGTCACTTCTCGGTATTTGAAGTGGTCGGATTGTGTGACCCCTTGTCAATCTGTCTAGCCTTGCATTGAAGAGTCCCTTGGTCCAGCCTCTACTACAATGTCAGCCATTTTTTTTTTGCAAATCCGATGTCGCTGGAAGACGGAGCGTGTCACAGTTTACATTATAGCATCGTGTCACTGGGCGATCTTCGTGAACAGCGCCAATATGATTAACTGAAAACAGCTGGCACACTAGAAGATAAGTAGATAAGATAAGAAAAAAATATGAAGCAACGGAGCAGATTATCACAAAACGAGCCAGCTGGCTCAGTTGCATTTATAATGTAAATTTTACAATAAAGTGACGGCCACTCTGGAAAAGCAAATGCAGTAAGGGGAGTAGCTGGCCGTTGTAGCATGCTTCTGAAAGCATGAAGACAGGCAACAGTCGAAGTAGTGCTAGTGGGTTCTCATTTTACGGCACAAAGTTACTACCGGGCATTTCTTGATTCCACCTATTACTCTATCGATTTTAGTTATTTTCGTTATGCTCTGCCGAATGTCGTCTGCATGCATATACCTTCTCATATATTTTCCCCCTATATGAACCCCTGTAGCGACATCAGCTATCGAGAGCCATTTACATATGAAGTTTTTAAGGCAGAGACGCGGTAGCTTGATCTACCAACGTCAAGATAAGTGTGCAGGAAACTGAAAAATTAACACCCGAACGTATTTCGTACTCAGTGCCGTCTATTGTTGTCAAACGTCTAGCCTTGACGTAATAGACCAATAGAAATGCCACTGCATTGCCGGAAGCTGAACTGGTATGTGATGGAACGCCTGATCGCGATACCAGATGTAAAACTTGAAACACTATTAGAAAATTCCCTTCTGTAGCTAATAAAACCTATTTACGTTGTTTCTCGATAGGCGAACTAGAATACGTACACCCACAAATTGTTAGGCAATAAATAGCTTGACGCTTAATAAACCGCTTTATCTAGAATTCATTTTGTCGCCACCGTTTACGAGGATCAATACTTAGTTTAAGTTTATACACGAATACCTCCTTTTAGGTAACGTCCAGCGTAAACTTTACTCGATCACAGCTATAAAATTTAAACTTTAAATTTTAAATATATAAAACAATGGACGAAAGAGGTAATAGAATAACCTTACAAATATGAAAAGACAAAAAACTTTCATATACTCCGGCCAACGTAGGTATTCTTTGACATTACATATAACTATTATATCTATTAGGTATAGGACAGCCATTGGTGCGAGCAACCTAAACATAACGGCTAGAAGCTGTGCACAATACAGAAGTAGAGGGATCCAGGCTAAATGAAGATACGTCCGGTTCTCATGGCCTTAGAATTTATTGGTATCGCGCGAGTCGAGTAGCATCATTATGCATAATTTATACATGCGCTATATATATACACACACACATATATATATATATAGACATACATATATATATACACGGCAATTCCACTGTGTATACAGCAATTGAATGAGGGACCTTTTGCGGGAACTTTCATTACGACAAAGAGACACGAAACGTTGGCCGCTTTATCCTCATTTATTATGTTCATTATTAGCTCTTGAGGCATCCTACGCAGTTCATGATCACACTTTCATCAAAGCTTGGCTCCAAATTGGCATCTTAGGTCCAAGAAATTCTAGCTAGATAATAGCAATAGCCGATATTTTTAATCACTGACTTTCTAGGAAAGTACGTTACGAATACGATATGATTTCTTTTCAAAAAAAAAAAAGTACAAGGACGCTTTAAGAGACGATTTAGCTATTGGACAAAGACGACACACTCTGCTACCGGCGGGTCTCTACTAACACCAAGGTACTTCCTCATTTGGCTTCTCCTAATTTGCGGGCCACTCCGATTCGTTGGTCGTCCGTAGAACAAGTAATAGATCTACTTCTTTCGGGCGCGCTGACCAAAAGCTGTTGAAACGTGATGACTCTGATTATCTTGGCTCTGTGGAGAAGCAGATACATATTTCTGTTCGCCTTGGCTAGTTAAGTAGCCGGCTGACGGGCTAGAGCTGCTATAAGTCGGATGCCCATGCTCGGAACCAGCCTGGGAAACGGTGTGGTAGTACAGGCTGGTGGCAGCAGGAGCTTGGGCTGGATTGGGGGCTGGCTGTGAGTAACCGGGATAAAGAGGGGCGGCCCTTTGCGTATCATCATCAGTCAAGAATGGCGCATCCTCTTTACCGATGTTGTCGTTCACGTAAAAGAAGTCTGGTGCATTAGGGCAGGGAACAGCTTCTTCGGGGTGGGCACATGTCAACGTGAGCTGGTTGAAGACAGTCTGATTGCCGCAGAAGAACGAGAAATGCTGAACTTCTTCGATGCCACCTACACAAAACGAGACAGATAAGAGACCAGAAACACACGTCTGATAAGGTTCGCCAACTCTCCGTTAAGAAAGACTAAGTCATCCTGATATTAGAAATATCTAATCACTGGCTAGCTCCGATATGCACGAACTCAATGCAACTTACCAGGCAGGTTGTGGACTCCTCTGCCTTAGAGAGTCTCGCTTATTCCGCGTTGTCAATTTGAGCTTCGAAAGCTATTTTTAATTAGCTAATCATAAGAATTGTGCTGGGGCATTGATATGGTTAGGGTCACCGTAAGATCCATAAAATATCAATATCAAGCGCACAAGAAGCCTTCGCAAGCTATCGAAATACAAATAATCGCCAGTAAAAGAATCCTGGATATGTTGAAACGAATTTCCTCATTCATTAACGCTCGTCTTTCTCTGCGTGATCTCTTATTGTTATGGTTGATGCCACAATGACGCTTGTTATAAGAGCTTAGTCACAAAAGTGAAATTCGTCATCTTTAAGGCTCTTATCTATTTAGCCTTTACATGGCCTAAGATTCCATATCCGGATACGAATGCAAACCGAGAACACTGTAGATAACTATATACGCTAACACTTTTGCACACATGAAAGAACAGAGATCGTCGCCATTTTCAAATTTGTTGAATACGAGTAATCTTCCAACATTAAACATATATGTTCAATATTTCGCTTAAATGCTTTTCTAAAAGTCCTTTTGCACCATTTCAGTGCCTTGAAAAGTGCTTTCTCACATGGTATAAACACCGAAGAACACGCATACGTGTCCGAATTTCTAGACATCAAAATGGCGTTAAACAATTATTACATCTGTTCTTCATGCTTTTGTAATTACTCCGCTTAGACAAATATAGTTAACGATGAGGAAAAAAAAAAACGTCAAAGTTAACGATTATGAACGTTGCCAGTTTTTGTTCTGTTATGTGTGTGCTATATTTAGAGTTTCAGGTCGGGTATCGCCGTTAAACACTCCGTCAGACGACAGACTCCCGGCAAGAAATGAAGTGTGCCTGTGCCTGGGTTGGAACCGAGGCCACAACGTGTCCCTAAGGTCAATATGCAAACACATTACCTACTGCCACTAAACTATTACGGAAAATCCACTGTACCGCCCGACGTGTTCATAAAAAATGTACGTGCACTGTTCTTTGTGAGGATCGTAAAAACATGTACCGATTTAAGTACCTATTGTGAATATAGTTTTTATTTGCTGTATCATAGGTTAGCTCCAGCTGTATTGTATCTGTTGCCTTACGCAATCATTGCGTCCATAGTGATAACTGCATGAACTGCTTGTTCTAATCCACTGCCCCTAATATGAATTTAGCTTAGTGTAGAAACTTGTTTTTGCTTGTTCTTTTGTCATACTTAATGAGGTCTCGTCCTATTCGCTACACAGACATTGCTTGTTTCCCTAGCTCAAAATGATCTGAATCCATTAAATACTGCTGTCAAACAGGCCGTCATCCATCCTCTTAGGAAGCCATTGTTAGCTCTCTTAGCAGTAGGTACGCATCATCAGCATCTTAAAATGTTCCGCCTTCTTCAAAAATGGTTAAATAAATGCGCCCTGTTTATGCCACTAAATCTAGCAACGGTAAAACAAGCTAACTGATGATAGTTCAAATGGCGTTTTCTGCTCCTATACAAAAGATGATCCAGGGACATCAGCTTGCCGCCAGCGCCGCTAGCGCAGTTTCCACGCGTCATCTACTCAGGTCTGAAAATACGCCTAGTACTTATGTATAGGCAGATGGAGAGCAGATCGTCAAGTAATCCATTTGAATACGTACACTCAGACATCTGAGACCATGATTTTACAGCCGTTTGTATTGAAACAGGAACACAACGGTTTCAGCATCTATGGCGACTATCAGATAACCGCAATAACTGTGTTGATTTCAAGCTGAACTCGACAACGCCTGCTGCCTTGGGACTCTACGATAACTATTATATGTCAGCCATATGGACTTTGCGCTTCCAATACGCTGGATACGTGGAATAGACAAACGGGAAACTCCGTCTTTGTGTGGCTTCTCAAAACGTCGACAGAACAATCGATCAGAAGATCATCCTATAATATAGAAAAGGGTTAAGGGTAAGATGGAGAGTCGATTACTCAACGAATATATTGACAAAGCAACTATATCTAAACCATTATACATAGAGGAGAGTCTAGCGTAAAGTCAGGGGGCAGGCAACGTCCGTCAATGTCATCGTGAACAGCAACCGGAGTAACAGTCACACCACCACCGCGTTAGGTTGCAGCGTCACTATCAACGACCTTAACGCGTTATCTACATGTAGCTACTAGCGGCGGTCACATCAAAAGTTCGTATCACTGCTCGGATTTAGCAGCACATGGCCACTATAATAGGACAACCCATACGCGGTGCCACCAGCGGTCCCACTGGGGCAATCCCAGACTTAAGGATCCCCAACAAAGCCCAGCTAACATTGCAATCGTTACCCGCTGCCTGTCAAGTACGCCATAAATTAAAAACTCATGCATCTGCAACGGGGAACAGAATTCACTGCAGCGGAAGCAGCTCGAGACGCAGGCAACTACAAAACGGTGGGAATACAGCTGTGAGCAAGATGTGCTTTTTTATATGTACATTTCACTGTGGGTCCACGTTTGCGTCCATCTATACCCGTCTGTCAAGAAAACAGTCTGCGACAGATCTGTGGTTTTACCCCTAAGTGTGTGAAACAGTGTGAGGATTATAAACAGCAGACCCAGACAAAGAGCCCCCTGCGACGATTGTTGCGGTTGGCGCTACTATTATACCACAGTATGCGACTGGCGTTTCTATAAATAGTGTCGCTCTACCCTCATCTCACCGTAGATTTGATTGTCGTTTGAACAAGGTGGCACAATCTTTTAGACAACAACATCTTGTCTGATTGGGTAGGATGACATGCGTACACCGGAGTATCTCAATGTTAATTGGAGGATGCACGGGCTTTGGTCCATGTACGCACGTATGGCCACTAGTAATACGTAAATCTATGTATGAATATTACATAATACACAATCAGTGTGTGTCTACAAGCAGATAAACAACCGAATTACTGTAGCCGTATCGATAAATCGACAAAATGGCCGCTGACCGACGGAGGACAGGCGTTGTTATTTCGCGTGTCGCCAATGACACGTACTATACAATTTGTATAAATAAAGCAGACTACTCTTCTATCGGTAACGTAGTACTGTAGCAACAGCAGCCGTAGAAGTTACTGCATCCTCGAGACAGAAACACAGTTGTTATGTACAGCGTTGTGGCAAAAAACACGCAATCTGGGTTCGAATGCCTATTTACCGTGTGCTATGCAAAGACCCTTTTTTATGCTGCAGACAGTAGCTAATTTGCTCACAAATTTGTGAAACATCCGTGGGCACATTTGGCTCGTCTGTCTGGGTCGGTCGCTCATTATTTTTGGCCTTGATGGGTGATAGCCAGTCAGAAAAATAGAAATCGACTGCCTGGTCGTATGTCTAATCAAACTTGCTTTCGTGATCAAAATATTTGAACTTTTAACTATTGTTCGTAACTGTAACTTAGCGCTTAGCTTAGTGCGTTTGGGAATAAAACGTCTGAGGAGGCCGATATTGTACGCCGATGATTGTTTTTAAAAGAACTGACAAACTAACTAGAAAGTTTTAAATGGTCTGGTCAACTAAATTGCGCCTTATTGTTTTTTAAGTCTAAGTTCGTTCAACAGAAAAACCTAATTTCGTTACTTGTTTAAATCACAGAACAGCTGTTATACGCTAGCTCCACCGGTTTCAAAAACCCTTTCTTTCGGTTTACATCATTGGGCCCCCACAGAACGTGGTTCTCCATTGACCAAACAGATCAAATTTAACAAAGGCCAACATGATTTGTTTTCTATTGCAGTCTTTGAATAAAATATTCTAATTGCTCGAACATTTAACTTCCGCTTGCACGTATACTGAACTCAAATCTCAGTAGTATTAGGTAGTGGGCATTCCATAAGTGGGCGCCCCATGATTCTAAGCCTTTATTGATTACAGACTTAAAGAATCTATGGCCAAAACTCAAATTGCTGTTAATTTAGCTATTTCCTATCGTGTCTTTTTAAACATTTAGATTAAATTGAGTTCGTTCATATCCAGAAGGTAAACTGGGGTACCCTTTTGACTGGCTTCAGAGGCCTCGTAATACAACTTCGCACGGCGGTAATTTCAAGAGCGAACTTAAACGGGCTGTCACTTAGGTAATAGCTACTTTATCTACAACTGTCACTATATGATAGATTGTTCAAGTTCTTCTTTCAACCGACAGCTCTATTATTATGTTCCTCCTGTCTTCTATCCTAATTCGCCAAGTATACAAAGTTCTATTTACCGAAAACGAGATAATCATCTACAGTTAAAAATGAAAGCCATTAACTTACGTAGAAGCAGTTGACTTCGCTAGGTATTCAAGTTCGAGACGCTAGGACTTACGTAAGCTGATGGCTTGGCACAATAGTTGGTAAATACTAATCATAGAGACATTTCGCTTGCGTACATTTACTATTAAACAAGTAAATACGTATTACTGCAATTTCAAATAGTATAATATTACCTCTCTCGGTGAAGTGCCACGCTTCTAACGTAGGCGAGGTTCTATATCTCTTCACAAAGAGCAACACCGAAACAGATTCATGTGTGTCACTGATTCACGAGCTACCGCGTATAATACTATAGTTTAAAGTAAGTCAGCTGGGACGAAGGAAACGTGAATGAGCTGTTAAATAACAGCGTCATACCTGTTGCACAGTTTATCCCACATGTAAACAACTGTATGTAAAGTTAGCGTTGTATTATTAAGCAGTCTACCATAATACCCCGGGGATTACAGGGATAAGCACGGTGCGAGCACATATTGAAACTATACTGAAGATGTGCTTGTTAGCCCAGTGGCGTTCCCAGCGTACTTCCCAATTACAACATTCCTTCAGAAGATGAATTGGGTCCGCGAACACTTGGTTATAGTTAAAGAAAGCACCGGTGTGCGGCGTCGCAATATATGTGACTTCTATATTGCCGTATACTTGATATATCTTTTACTAATCTATATTGCTACGTTTGGAGATCTACAGAAATCGACCTCGGTATCATAATCTAGCAACTGCGTACGACGCATTTGAGTTTAGTTTTAAACGGCTTCGAAGTTATGCCGTACGGTACAGCTTTTCAGAAAAGTTTCAAGGTTTTTAACACAGGTGCTCTGAAATAAACCAATTCTTTGTAGATTGAATGGTTGGTTTTATTCCATTACTGAGAGACATCCTTTATTGCAAAGTACAGTATCAGAGAATCAGTATTCGATGTAAATGTAAATTTATACTGTTCGATTTTATGAAGCGACACTAAACATAGACTTGTTTTATACAGCAGTGGTAAAGCTCATGCGTCGTTTGTTTAGTGACAAATTTAAGCAGTGATCAAGTTGACCCTGACTGGGCTGCCTTTAAGGGGCTTAGACGCAAACGTACCAAAGTCACCCTGGTCTGTTGTATGATTTCGTGACACAAACACGTACATACGCACGTCCGCATTCAGTAAATATCAATCTCAGCAATAATAATGGAAAGGTTCTGTAGCAGTTTTCGCTCGATGCTGACGAAATATAGGCTGCTGTTTCCTAAGTCTAGCCGATAAAAGTGCGACCCGACCTGCCGTCCACTATTGTTTGTATTGTCCAATATATTGAAGCGTGTCCGGCAGTATACTGCGTTAACATAATATCTATTAGCAGCGAGCAGGGATATCTGTTTGTCTGTCAATTTCCTGTTGTCCACCGAATAGGGGACGTTCCATTCGTCCTCCGATCTGCGCGTTTTCAACCCTTCAGATCGTCTATTTGACCAGATAACTTTCGAGATAATCTAAATCGTCGTACTTTTGCTGGTAGAGATCACAACGATCACTTGAGAGCTGAGAGGGAAGAGGGGGAATGAACCTCATGTTGATATCTCGTCCGCGATCAGTTCGACACTGATGATCGCTGAGCGTCGCATTTGGATTGTCCGATATTTTTCAAGTGCAGGGTTACACCGCCATCATCAGGCTGTCCACATTCTAGAGCCAGATATGGCAAACTGGGAACGGGACACAGCCACATAAGGAGAACAACTCTAGCTACTATGCATCCTGCTTTCCTGACAGCTGTAACAGTGAAAATAATCATAACCGAAAAGGCCAACGAATCTACTAGTAGACGTCAAGGGCACTGAGTCAAAAAGAGACTGAAGCAAAGCAATACTAAGTGACGGGTAGTACCAGATTCGTTTGTCCGTTTGTATATATGTATATACAGCACAAATTGTGTGTGACGACCAGCAGGCCTGTTGTAGCAAGCCTTGTTTTCCCTACACAGTCACTAGGTAGATCAGAACGCAGTGTTTTCACACAAACCACTATGCCACCAGGGCCGCCGCCGCCGCCGCTTCGGGATAAAAACGTCGCTAGGAGCTACTTGTAGTTGTCATTTACCGTTCTTAATTTCAATCCGTTAATTATATGAATAGTCCCCACAAAGGTAAAACTCATAGACATGATGATTGTTTTCTCAAATTGCCTACTGCCCGGCCTACCCCACCGGCCTGCTACTGCTTTCAAACGGAGTAGTTTGATTCCCGCAGAAGAAACATCTACTGCTTGTCTAACGACTCTAGCACAAGGCGAAGTTGTGTGTGAACACGAAGGCAAATGCATCATATTCAAAACACTTGAACATTAACTTAAAATTAAGAAAAATTGATAATTCCTTAACTAGTGGGATTACTTGTACCGCAATCATAAGCCTTCACTAGAAACGAACGGACAAACCGCTTCATGTTGTTTTCTCTAGCATAGAGTGGGTTGCTAGTTGGAAAAAATTAATGAAATTGGTATTTTTCAAGACAACGGCTATTTTCTATTATCTTAAACTTTTTTTTTCAAACGGTTCCCACCATGCAGCAGAAAACAGTGATGAAAAACTGGTGTATATGATACATGCGTTAGTTATTGTTGCAAAAAAATATCGATTATTTTCGGTGTCGCTGTTGTTACTACAGTCCGAGGAAACGTGTGTTGTCGAGTCAAAACAGGAGGGGGTCATTGTGCATATTACGTTAGAGATTATAATGGATGACGTTCTTGTCTACATAATTGGTCACAAACAACAAATGGAAATTCAGTGCACTGCTTATTGGAGGTATCATTTGTCTAAGGGACTATGTATAAAAAAAAGGGCCACGGTCATCATTTTAAGGTCGGCGTTGTCCTTTCATTTCGCCCTTTTCGCTCGATCATGTGCTGACTTGTACTTATGAGAACGTACGGTTCAATATCTTGTGCTGGCGTCATTACACTTGTCGGTGCTGCTATGACGCGGCTCGGCAAAGAAAGCCCTTTATGATCGATGAGCTTGCCTCATTGAAGATGATATACGTAAATATCGGCTGCAGTGACCTCCAAATTGATGCCTAGTAGTGATGGTAAGAATAATAATAATAGGAGCTTTTGTGACTGAACGTTATACAACGACAATTAACAATAAACATGCAATGAACACTGGAAAAACACGCTGAAAATACTGCACGAGGACAATTTCGAAAAAGATATGAGGAAATCAACCTAGAGACGTGTCTATAGGACACACTTAAATATATGGGAGGTGTATTCGATATAAATTACTCTTGTTTCTATTTTAACGATAAGAGACGATAGTGCGACTAAAAGTCGTAACTTATCGTTGGTACTGCTGTTCCTATCACCACCACCACCACTACTATTGCGCATAAATCCGCTTTACGAATGAGCTAGTGCCTACCACATTTGCACAAACGTACAGAGCGTTGCAGATTGCCTCTGTGTATAGGTGGCACAATTTAGAGTCATCGAAAGGAACAAATTCTGCGCGGGGAATATATCTGGCTGGGAAGGAGTAGAGGATGGCAACCCCGCCCATATTCCCTCCCAAAGCGTCCGCCGCCTAAAATCTGAAGCCAGACAATGTATACCTATTACTATAAGATTATATTCATGACGTCAAACAGCAGCATATTGCTATTGCTTCAAAGTTGGCGCTGGCATTTTGGCCTGTCATGATGAAAAGGTCAAAAGACTTCTGCGAATTTAATGTTGCTACCAGATAACTGTTAGATGCACGCCATAAAATGTGAGGGAACAGAGCACAACCCGTCACGAACGCCGTTAACGGCCACCACAGGATGCGTACATGCGGATCAATAGCGGCAGATCGTGATAGCAACGACAGCGACGACGGTAAACAATCGACGCCACACTGTGTATGACGTTCTCCCTTTGCCAGTCCGTCCCCCACTGCCATTCCTTCATATAATGCTATGGCAATGATGTTACAAAATAGGCGTAAAACAAGTCTAGGAATGGGAACGATGACGAAGAGGATCTCAACTAAGTCAAAAAATAACAGTTACTTCAGTAAGCAGCACCAGCTGAACTGCTGTCTCAGCCCGCTCCAAAAAGCGTCAGTAACACTTAAAAAAAAAGCTGGCTTTTGGTAAATGTGGACGAAAAATATAGTGTACCACATTAATAGTCTAACTTTTTTTTTATAGTAGCATTGTATGTGCATTGTTATTATCTTCACCGCTGCTATTGTCATCATCATGTGGAGACAGGTCGTGAGAGGGGTGTTTAGAGGGGTGTCTACGACAATAACGGATATTGGTGTTGTCCTCTAGATGCAACGTCGAGCATATGACAAAGGCCAGCTAACATAGTACGTTAGTAGCGTCTCCGCTGCTAGGAGGCTTATTACTATTATTAATTATATAGTAAAATTTAGTATAAAATATATAGTAAAAACATCATAAGCATGTAATGGACACCTTGCGGTGGTGCGAACATAGTCATTACACGCGTTTTTTTCCGATAGAGACTGTTATCACTGCTTTAGAATAGTATTAATAGTTTCTAGGTTACGTTACGTACAACCGACGGCAAGCGCCTCAGAATGATTGCGATCGCTACAAGAAAATGGTCGACCGCTTTGTGTTTGGGTGTATTTGTGTGGGAATAGTGAAAATCAATGATTAGTTATTTGTCAATGTTTTGTGGATTAATAATTTCACATTAGTTATATTGATCGGACTTTTTTTCTTCTTCGGCGGCAGTAGCCGAGCGCAGAGCTCATACGTTGCCATATTAATCGTTTCACACAAGAACTTGTTTGTAAACCGCCAAATTATCGATTTCTATCAATTAGAATTATCGACCATCGGAGGAGCCTGATAAAAGATGAAAAGCGTATCTCCAACGTCCTCCGAAAACAATACGACGCCTCGTTCCGAACTCACCTTCGGCATTCATAACGGGGTTGCAGACATGATAAACCTTGCAGTCGTTATCCACGTCGGCGAAATATCCGTACCGCTGAGGACACTGAAAGGTCGTTCGTACCTGCCCCACTACCTCGTCTATAGCGTCCGCAAACTGGAACGCTTCTCGACGCAACTGTAATTTAATTGACAGTAAAAGTATGTTCACGCTAAAAAATACGTTCCATATGGTTCCCTTTACTGCAACGAACGAATACAAAATTATACAGAAATGACATTGGTCCACGCAAAATAATTTTTGCATAAGAGCGTAAGTCCACTAATTTTTCTATAGAGAGTTGCCACTGAACAGCTTCGTTACCGCATCTGAAAAGGCATCTTACGGAAAACTGAGGAAATTTCAATACGTTTTTCTTAGCTAAAGTAAGCCTAAGTATCTCGTCATGGGCGAAAGGCAACAAACTTGATGCTAGCCCTCAAGTTGGATACAAAACTGACCATCGTGTGTTATTAAAGGCTTAAGACAAATAACTACAAGAGACAATAGAACGATTAACCATCTAAGTGAAATGCGTCTCAATTCCGCCTTTGTGTAGCTCGAAGCGTCCATGTTAACTGCCACCTAAATGTTTTGGTTTATGTCATCTTTTTTCTTCTTTTAGATATCATCTTTTCTCGCCTTGTTCCCTTAAGTTACTGTTCATGCCATTCACGATACTGTACATGCCATCTACTCAAGACAGCCACCTTGTAGCCAGTTGTAGCTAGACCTTAAACAACCGTGTCATCAATTCAATTGTTGCATTACCATGTTCCAATACGAAGCCGGCGTATCGCGGCAGAACGCTTCCAGTTATGCTCATGATGACAAGAGTAGGTATCTGCACATGTTCGGTAACAATGGGGTTACCAAGGGGTCAACAAAGGAAACGCCAATGGTCTATCGCATACAGGGAGCCCACTTACGACTCATCGTGGCCACATCGTAACTGAATTTATTGCCACCGCTTCAGTTGGTACGGCGACCGGCTTGATCAGAGCTTTACAAATGTTCCTATCTGTTGACGATTAGTCGAACACTGACAAAGGCATTATAGTTTTAACCAAACTTTTCTCTATATAAGGTACATTAGCAGCGTCTACGATGCTCTAACTATTGTACGTCAACGAATGAATGAACTTGCTCGATAAACTGCGTGCCTCACATCATGACTACCCGTCTCTAAAAGTGTCATATCGTGTTCTATGCAATAATGGTATATTCTGGAGTCGAGGGCGAATTACTTCGAAAAAATTATTCGGGTATTTGATCTGCCGCTAAGAAAGTCGTATCGCAAACTTTAGTCAGATTATATAAGTTCGAAATCATCTAATGACAATATCGACGTTCGGAGCTGTCAAGCGTTTGAAGTGGCTGCATAGACCCTTTAACAACACGTCTCCACTATGGACCTTTGTCACTTCGTGGTTTTTAATCAACAGAAACAGACCCATCGTGTCACTTCGACGTTCAATCATGTTGACCTTTACCGGAATGGCGTATTATGCAGCATGCGCTTAGTACATACTTAGGCGACAAAGACAAATTACTAGAAACACTAGTTATTCGACAAAATATAAATAGCGCACGATAAGACAAAAGAGATTGGACTTACCCTGTGAGAAGAACCCACAACTACTGCCATAACAGTGCTAAGCACGACGAGCGACTTCATTCTGTAACCATAAAAAGCTGCAAAGGTTATAAGGAAGACTGATCGGAAGTTTCGATGAGGCACCTCTGTGAGAGCTTTATTAGGAATTTACCTAGTCGCCTTTGTAGCGTGCTCGGCTAAAAGTAACACTATCCTATAGTACCTACTATTCTTAATTAATTACAGACAATTATAATGTTATCTGGTGATAACTAGCCTCCCTTCAATACAGAACAACGCCCATCTAAGAGGCTTAAGCGAAGCGGTCCGATCCGTCCACAGGCACACACACAAATAAACATAACGCAGTTTCGAATATTAAGGACGCCTGCCTACAGTAACCTTTTGCAGGAGGTGGAGCGTTACTTCACTGCCGAAGCCACGGTAAAAGACCTGGACAATACTTGTCAGTAATACAACCCTTTCACATATAAAGAGCCACTAAGCAGATACGATCATAGTAGAGATAATACGGCAGCAATGCTGAAGTTAGTAGCGCAGCGATCAAAGTACTCTGAAGCATCAGTGGACTATGTTCGATTTCGGTGGCGGCCTGGTGCACTTTACATTGGCACAAATGAGCGTAGCAGGCAACGAAAGCAGATTAGTACTTTGTATCCTAGGCTTGCGATCAGGCAGAAATACTTTATGCAGATGAAACCTAATGAGTCCAGACAACATAATACATATAAACTTGCATACAAGATACGAAAACATTAGCTAAGCATTCAGCGTCCTAACTTACGTTACTACTGAAGTTATCACCCGAAAGACGCGCAGTCTGATCGGACTGCGGTGTTCAACTGATAGACGAACTGGTTGCGGAGCCCTTAAATAGCCCTTAAAGCTCCCTAAACTTCAGTCACTTCATCATCTTTCGTTTTCGAAGTGACTCATACATGCGGGTGTGCATTTCGGCGTTTTTGGCTTCAAAAAAAAAGCAGTATCAGTGCCACCTTTTACCGATGATGCTGAAGTTACCGCTGTCTACCCGTAACTCTGTGAATCGGCAAATATTGTGAGGCTTCAACGAATCGGAGTTCTATGCCTTTCTAACCAGCGCTGTCGGTATGTTGTCTCACCAGCCCTGACTGCACTTATCCAAAATGTAGCTTATTTGAGAGATCTCGTTCTGTCTTGATATCTCTAATCTTGGTTAGACCGAGATGCAAGGATAAAGGCCAAGAAAGAAATCGAGATAGAGAAAGAAAGAAATAAACAACGATTCGTGGCGTTGGTGAGTACCACCCGAGAAAACTCTGATGGTGCAACGGGCGACAGGGAGCTAAACCGCTGCGATTGATAGTCGATGTACGATCCAGATCAGAAGGTCTGCATCGAGATGATTCGCTCTGCCCCACACGGAGAAAGCCCTGTTCACCGCGTCCATGTATACGGGTCGTCGCTCAGACCGAGTTGATCGGGTTGCATAGGCGCATTTCAGCTTTTTTAGGTAGGATGCAGTGGCTAGAAAAGCAGTGCGCTTACTTTACACCGAGAGGCGACAGCTTAGTGGCCTGCACGATTAGATCCCTTAAAACGTAAAAAGATCATTTCGTCGTGCTTCTATGAATATTGCATCACCAGCTGCGTCGACGGTCTCCTTGCGAACCTCTTGTCTCATTCAGTCAGGCAAATGCTGCCTATGCTGAGAGGCCGCCAGCCGTCTGACATAATGTTCAAAAATGATTTCGAACGAAGTAAGAAATTCGAACCACTTCATTGAAGTATCGAGACATCATCTAAGTATGTTGTAACACTGGCTCTATGCAGAATGGTGTGAACGTTTTTGCTGGGTGCCAGCCTATTTGTCGCTGACTATTGCGTATACAGAAGTCCGCCCTCGCTATTGGCTGTAACGGTCATACTTATTAACCAGTTATTATCTATGGAATATCATTAAATTAATAAATCCCAGTTATTTTAGCCGAGAAATAAACTTCTTAAGCTGGTTAGAAAACAGTTCGAATTAAGAGAAAAAAATGGCTCTTATTAGTAAGGTGACCCCCGTCTACATAACCCAGCTTCAACTTTAGATTTTAGCAAAAACGTTTCACACTGCCTAGCTATAATAACACATTTAGGAAGCTTTTTCTTTTAAAAAAAAAACACATTAACATCTAGGTTATCTGATTAGGGAACTAACTATTTGTCAATATTCAGGTACAGCCCGGAGGGGTTCTATTAGCTAACTTCTTACAAGCATGGTGAGGAATATTGTAACACCGTTTGCTAGGCGCAGCCAAGGTAAAATCCTTGGCCTAGACGTGCTTACGCGTCACAAAATTGTGTTTGACGAAAATCGTTCATCAAAGAAGAGAAATCAACACTTCACTAACGAAAACCATATAAACCGGATTTTTAACTTCTGGCCACTTCATACTTTACCGATAACTTCCCTGGTTTCACACACACACAAGCACAACATCCACATGTGGTCATACTGCACCGGGGCTCACTTTGGGCCATCACAGACTTTGATATGCAAGCGCTGTATATAATAATGAAAATTACTTGTTTGTATGTCGCAAGAGAGAATCGCATAGTACAGAGTTGACAGGCCCATCTCTAAACGCATACATATAATAATGCTACCGCAACGTCCAGCAACAGAACACAAAAATGAGTCTGACAAGGTACCTTTATCTAAAGTAAATGGTGGTAGGCATGCTTTGCGTTAATACAAACTAAAGAGGTCTTACTTCTTCAGCTACTGAGTGAAGTGTCGGCTCAGTTTCCTGCGCAACGTTGCTTTTGTAGTGGTTGGGCAGAGAAGAGGCTTTTGTAAAACAGCGGGCTCGCAAAAGACGGCGGCCATTTTGACCGTCAGGGAATCCAGGGGAGGTGCAGTGGTCAGGGTCATCAAAACGTCCCCCCGCGCGTGGGGACCGCTATCCGGTCACTTGCAGCATCAGTGTTTCCTTTGCGTCGGACGTGGATGACATCTGGCAAGTACGTGGCGTACTGATTGCATTGTTTCTAGTTATTTAACGAGAAGAAGGGTTACTGCGGTGGTAGCAGTCAGCAGTAGTCAACCGTTGGATCGAAGACAAGGAATATAAACTTCATGTACATAAATGCTATAATAAAATTGCTCTTACGACAAATATAGTAGTCACTACAAACCAACTATGCGCTTGCTATATATCTTCTCTGTAATGGATGTACAGTGATTTTTCCCTAAAGCTAGCAGATAATATGCTGAGATAGTTTTACCTGAAGGTTTATTGTTGAAAAAACATTTTCTTTTTTTCGCGAGAGTCATAATAAATGTTAATAAAAGCATATGAGTGTCGATTGAATACCTAGTTCAACAATTGAACTTAAGGCACTACCAAACCGAACCAAATTTAGGTCTGATTAAGAGATTTTTCCCTGTTTTTAGCCTTATCATCCCCATATTAATTTATTTGTTTATGGCAACTTAAGGCATACGTCTTTGCTATGTACTATTTGAGATAAATATTTGTTTCTACGTCTCTAAGATTTTTGTGAAAAAAGCTAAAATTTTGAAGTATCTTACGTTTTCAGAATAGCCCACGTCATTATATAGCCAGGTTTTGTTAGATAACTGGCAGGTATTATACACTATTTACTAAATACACAAGACTTTACCGAGCCTGACAATATTTCGCCAATTGGCTAAAGCTTCGATTAAAATACGCTGTATACGCCCAAACAAATGCTCTGTGCATGAAGAGATTACATTCAGAGTGACACACTTGTGCATAATTCTTCATTGAACTTTCCACTGCAAAGGGGAATAAAGAATATCTTAAAAAATATGTTTCGAGTAAACTTAAGCCTGGGTGTAAACTAAGCCTTTGATGTAAGCCTTCCATACTTGTGTAAGACGTGCATCAAAGTTTTTATCGTTTTATCGACGACAACCTTGCGTATGCCTAATATTATGGGGTGGTGCCCGGGTGAGACCTTTTACTCGGTTAAGCGTCAGCCGACGCTAGGATATTACCTCAATTAGCCGATCAGCATTTTGGGTGTTAGAGATGTCCTCATTTTGCGTTTGCTCGAGCTCCTGGCACAAATAGAGATTGCTCCCTCTCCGAATGTACCGCAGATGTTTTTCGATATCGCAGGCATAAGACAAAAGCAGACGTGTCGATCAATGCTGTTGTTCCACAAAGCAAAGCATGCCTCCTGATGCGCTCGGATAGTCTGGGCCTTACACAGTGTCGAGGAACGGTTATTTGTGTTTTTCGTTGGTTGGTTTCAACCGGTTGAGCTACCTTGTAGCTCCAGCCGCTGTTGAACTAAGTCTAGCTTCTAGCGTTTACTTATTTGTCTAAGCTTAATTTATGTAGTAGGCTAACTTATTGGGCTAGGTGGTGCATTTTTATAAGAGCTTTTTTTTATCACAATAAAATATCGCACAGGACTCGTAGAGCGCATGCTGAAGCAAAAGTTAGGAAATCCAGTCGTGTATGGTTGTCCTGTACATTTTTAAATAGCATATATGTTGGCTTCTTGAGCCAACAGATTCAAGCGGTCTATTTAGAAACAAGCAAGAGGTATACGTGATCTACTAGCTTACTTAAAGTTAGTAAAATATATTTAAAAATATGTTGCTCAGTATCTCTCGTATTCAAAGAAAAACACGATTATTTTATAAAGAAAATCCATTGGGATCGACACTGAACCGTCATGAGATGAGTGAAACTATATCTATATATATTTGTCATTCGGCCTATCGTATGGTTCTATTGGCCTGTTTTAATTGCAGGCTGCAATTTTAGATTCTGTGAATCAGCTAACTATATTCACAAGGTAAAAATAACAATACCGGAAGCTGCAGTATAAAGGGCAAATACTATTGCCTGCAATGTAGTTTCTGTCCAGCTCCAGCGAATGGCTTATATTATCTCTTTATCCACTGATTGATGGTAGATAATATGGCTTTCAAATATAATGTTTGCTAAGCTGAAATGCTGACAACTGTACTTTTCACTGACAAATATCATTGTAGCATTTCAATTCATGTTTCAATATGCTCACGTTGCCGAGATAAAGGTGTTGTAATAAAATGGACTTGACAACTAGCGTTGAATATGCATAAAGCCTGCCAAAGCCTATGAGACATATGACCAATGTCGAAGCGTTCATCAAAAGCTTTTTAGCCTGTCGCTATGACGTCTGCCGTCTGGTCGATGGTCGCAGGTACTGTTGTTCATGGTTTCGAGAAAATGAAATAGATTCTCGAATAGCGAAATATGAATTTATTCAACCCCGAAAATGGTTGCCAGCGCCGCCGTTGCCGAACGAGAACCGGCGAAAATTGCGACATCACGAAACGGTCGTGGTGAAGCCCTCATTCACGGACTGTGGACAAAACATTGACACGTCATTGGTAGGCGCCCGTTCGTTCAAGGGGAATTTCTCCAATCGGTATGAGAAGGAAGCTGTATCTTGTCTAGGCTCTAACAGTGTCTATGCGGCCTTTTACCTGTGCCCCGAAAGGACAATATTTCGTCCAGATTACTAACACATAGACATTACTGTCGCAGCAATAAGTTCGACTACGAGTGATATTCTGCTGATAGGCCAATATTCCGATCTGGAACAAAAGATATCTACGACCTGCGACGGCGAAATACCGGCAGATTCTAGTTTTCCTGTGTCCATGAAGCGATAACCAGCAGAGGACACATCCCGGTTCCAGGACGACGGCTCCAGCTTCGTTTGCTAGCAACGCTGCTATAAACTGGATCCGTAATGCTTAATCCAGAATAGGCAGGTAGTGTTTCCGTGTACTTCTGGCCTAACTCATAAAAGTGTCTCATACTTTTTACTAACTAGACGGGACTTGATCGCAACACAAATAACGGCGGTAGTACTGATAACATAGCTTGAATCTAAACGTAGACAACTGTCATTGCTAATCTCGTACTAAATGCAACTACTGACTGGAACACACAAACAGTTAAAGTTATCTAACAAAAAAACACTTACCTATATTACTTGATTAAATTATGTAGAGACTAGTGGTGACTAGAAACTAGCCCAATGTACCACTACTATTTAAAGACAACTAGTGCTTAAAATTTCTAAAATCAGGCCAATAAACCCTCTCGAGTAATTATTTACCTACTTGCCTTAATTTCTTTAAAATAATGAAGTGGGAAAAGTATGGGGACAAATGTAGCCGTAACAGGAATTTATTATGCAGCGTCTTTTCAATAGCGTCTAACTTAAATGGTGGCAAAGCGTCGAGCACTTCCGGAGTTGCCGATAGTTTTTCTTCTGAAGACGTCGACTTTCTTCGAGATACGATCGGCTAAATATAAGTAAAATAGAAAAGTATCTAAAATTTCCCGAACAGTACCGAATTGTTAGAGATGTGTTTTTATAATAAAAAATGTTAGAGATAATTTCGAGTTTACATAGTAGTAGTTGGAATGTTTTCAAGAAAAATCAAGGATTTGATCCTATGCATCGAGGTAGTATGAGGTCGTTAGGACCTCAATATTTCCTAATTTTATTGGCCTATGGCCAACTGCTATCTACCAACCCAGAAACTTCGTCTCTGTTCAACAGAACGGGACTACAGACTTTCCAGTAGAATTCGGGCTCCGAGAATGTATATGTTGGCCAGAAAACACTATAGCATTACTGGTGTTTTGTCAGTGTTAGAAAGTTGCGAAAACAAACTTACAGATCCTACACGGGAGACATATAGCTCAATCTAACAATTATTCGTCTTAAAAAATAGATCGAACTTTAAATCGAAGATACAACTATAGATCTTCATAACAGAATTTTGAGTTGTACTATTAGCTCTAGGGCTATCGTTGTGCAAGCCTGAATTGTTCTTGCAATCTAGGTGAAAAATCGATAAAAAGTGCCCAGATGCCGAACTTTGCCACCCAACCCACGATGTCAAGTTAGAACTTTACGATACGAATGAAACGAAAGTCCTCGCTTGCCAACAACATACAACGCTTGACCACAATGAGCCTTCTTGACAGGTTAGCAGATGTGGACGAAATTGATTCTCGTTTATACATCGTCTCTCATTTTGGTAAGGTATCTGCGAAACGTCGTAAAATGAAAAAGCTCATAACAAGCGAGCTGGACTGTGTATAATAACAATATAGAATTGTTCTCCAACTTATTTTGCTCGTCGCTATCAAAGCATATGTCCTGTAGTGCTTTCCAAAAGCACCGAGGGGCAAGTAACTCTAGTCGTTGAAACATCCAAATTACGTTACCAATGATGTTATCATTCTACGCAAAATCATACACGAACCCCAATGGGTATTCGATTGACGATGAAATGGCCACATCAGTATCCTTCAATATTTCCCTAGTCTATTGATTTAATAGGAGTAATCAATAATGATTCATATATCTCGTCTCAGTAACGCAATACACTGCGAAAGATCCACTATGATACCACAATTATAATAACCATATGTAGTAATGGAAATTGCCTATGTTTCTAGGCAATTTATATAAAGCTGAAAGAAATTCGTGTATACGTTAGTGTTATCATGCGCCGAACACTGAGATACCGTTGGTCTGTATAAAGAATCGAGTGCTTTTTCTACCTAGACGCAAAATGAAGATCTATTGCTTCTATTCTTGCTAAGACAGAAGCAATAGA